CTTTGAGCTTTGAGGCGAAAATTTGTATCTGGAATTCATCATCTACATACGTATCATACCTAGTGCTCGAATAGTTAGTGAATGGAAACCCACGGCAAGTGATTTCAGTTCAGGTTGAACATTTCTGAAATAAAATGAAGACAAAGTAGCATTAGACATCTCTGAAAGACCAAACTGAGCTAAACATTAAGACATTTCTCAGTGTTGTTCTTTGTGGTCAAATGAAAACTCTGAGGTGAAGAGCTAACGTTATTTAAAGTTATAATTTCAGTTGTTTTAGTAGGCAAACATCTGAATGACATTAATAATGATTATTCCCTTCCTTATTCAGTGTGTTATGATCTCGACAGTTTTACAAACATTTTCACATTTGATCCTTAGGAAATTTTGAGATAGTTAGTGGAAACATGCTTTATTATATCTATGAAGAAACTGATTTCATGTGATCTATTCAGTTGACAGGAGCAGATATTATGTAGGTCTTGGTCTGAGCAGAACTCTTTTGACCACCTTATTTCTGCCATTGTTGTTAATAGAATAGTTAACTAATATGATTCATGAACCACATAATATAACCAGGAAGGTCAGAAAGGTTATCTGTATTCTCGCATCCGGTGTATTTAAATGTCATTTTAAAGATAGCAAGCACATTTGTAAGCTCTCTTAAAGACGGTCTTCCCTTTCGCATTCTGGGAGCACATCAAGCCAGGCTGTGGCGACAGCGGAATGAGGATCCTAAGACAGACCCTGCCTTTACCATTTACTGAGATGGAGAGTGACCTAAATTCTAGCTAAGGAAGATCGAGTGTGCTTGCTTCCTCACCAGAAATTAGGAATGGACGGCTCGGCTGAGAGTATGAGCACTGTGCTACAGAATTTGCTGTTAGGCCTTCTGCATGTTTAAGGTTTTGGTTGCATGGTGACTGGCTGTTTGCTTTCTGTGGGAGAGGTAGGTCCCTGACCTGGCAGGGCTGGAGGTTCAGATGCTCATGGTGGTCTAGTTTGGTGACCCACCCCTTTCAACAGCTTACATAGGTGACTGCATAAATGCCCCAGGAAAGTGCTCGCTAGTCTAACCACACTTCGTAGAAGTGAAGTAGGGATGTTTATCACCCACATCCCGATCACAGCTTTAGGCTCAGTTACTCCACAACATGTGGATTTCTTCACTATGTGACTGTTCTCGCAGAGAAGGTGGCATTTGTTAAGAGGAAAGGGGCTCTCGTGATGAATCATCTTCTTCAACTCCTGTCCAATTTTTAAAGACTCACAGGATTGGTTCAGCCTTCAAATAATTAGGAGGGAAATGTCTGAAACTGCCATCTCTTTTTTAAAAAAGTGTGTTTTTTTAATTATTTCAAAGTTGCAGAAAAGTTGAAAGAATAGTACAAAGAATTACTTCCTCACTCCCTTCACTCATATTTCCAAACATTGTAGTTTTATTACCTTTTCTATATTTTTACTCAGATTGATTTTTTCTTCCTAATGCTTAAGACTTCTATTTTATGTATTTACTTGCTTATTTGTTGCTTTTTTCTCCTATACCCATACAGTCTTCCATCCCTCACCACCCCTCACCCAACTGGAAGCTAATGAAAGCAGAAACTTTATCACTTTTGTTCACAGTTCCATCCTTGGCGCCTAGAACTGTGCCTGACACATGACATGAATACATACTGAATACATAAATGCCATCACTTCTGCTTAGTCTAGTTTTAACAATAACCTTATGATGGAAGCATGGGAGCATCATTAACAGACTGAAATTTACATTTTTATTCTACAGTCTGGCTCACAGTTTTCTTTCAAAGAAAAAAAATCAAAGGCTGGTGAGAGATCAGCAAATGTTTCTGATAAATGATAATGTTGTTCTTAACAACTTTCTTAATAGGTAAAGCTATCATCAAGGTTGAAACAGTGATCTCTAAAGCCCTCTTTCTTTCCATGAAAAAACTTTAAATTAAGAAGCCAAAACTTGTTGAGAAGCAAGTTAATCTGGAGTTTTGAGAAGACCTCCTGTAAGTTAATAGATCTGTAACTTGGCAAATATGGAAGGCTCCTCCTTTTGAGCAGACAATATTTTATATTAAGGTAGAGTAATATCTGTGGAATAAATTAGTATAAGTAATTTGACAAGATTCAGAGTCATTGTGGAATCTACACAACTGTAGACTCAGTTTACGGGTTGATACTCATTTTAACAAAAGTTAATACATTTCTTTTCTTTCCCTTCCACATCATGCTGCTGGCTGACAACGAGCCTGTGGCTAACCCCCTAAGACTTCGAGGCATAATTTGATGTTAACCTAGGTCACCGTACTTACACATCTTTATTTTAAGACCTACATGCAAATCTTCATATATGCTTACAGTTTTGGGTGACTGAATGATGAACTTCACCAACAGGGCTTGTATTATCTGCCCCCTTCCTAACCCTCTAATCTTACCTTGTGCCATCCCTCTCTCAGTCTGTATGTCCCAACCAACTGGCTTCTGTTCATTTCTCAGCCACATCAGCTCTTTCCTGCCTTAAGGCATTGGCACCTAGTCCCTCTCCCTGTCAAGTTCTTCTCTGGGCTAATTTTAACTCACTTAATCTTTATTTGAGAAATACTGAGTCCTCATCCTCACAGCTCCACACTTCGATCCTATGTTCGTTTTCCCTTTTAACTCCCTTTAATAACACTCTTTTTTTCCTTAGGAGTGCTAGTGACAATGTGTAATTGTGTGTTTATCTTTAAGCTTGTTTGTCTTATGTCAGTCTTTCCTGTTATAATCTATGAGAGCAGATATTTTATCTGTTTTATTTACCAGGGAGTATCTTCATCAAGCATGGTCTCAATATTTGCCTAATCAGTGAAGAAAGGAATTAATTCTGTTCATACATTTGTTTCTTTTCTCTATGAAGGTATTTGAGAGACTAGGTCAAAAGCCATTCTGAGAGTGGACTAAAGCTTTGAAATATCATGGACTGTTTATATTTCACAGTCTGGTTCCCAAATGTTTTCTTTCAACGAAATCAACAGGTGATTCACTCTGATAGGCCCTTCAGGATAGAAAGCATTTCAAAATTAAAAGTTCTTTCAGAATCACAACAAGGATTCTTTCACATTGAGGCAGTTGTCCTCCGTGTCTTAAAATTCTTAATTAGAGGAGAAAGTGTGAAATCTAGATTTTGTAGTGGAAGAATACAAGGCAAAATTATTATTAATTACGGCATTGAACTATCACAGTAATCCTAAGACAATACATTCTTAGAAAATTAAACTGTAACAAAATATGAATTTGGGCTCCAAATATGTTACAAAAAAATATGTACATTATTAGGTGTGTTTATAGTCTAACATATAGAAATTTCCTTAAAAACAGTCATACTCACTTAAAAATCAGCATGATAGTTGCGGTGCTTCCCAATGCCATGGAAAGAAAACCAAGGATTTGTATTACTATATAAATATAAAATTTTCTTGCACACTTATTCTCTCTCGGGCATTCACCCAACTTCACCGAGTTATTTCCGTTCTGGAAACCATTTATTTCTGCACAACTACAGTTATGAAACACCTAAAAATAGTTTTTGAAATATTACAGAATATATTTGCAAAATGTGATTAGGTTATAAATACATTCCTTTATATTTAAAGACATCTCACTCATTCAAGCTAAAATATTTACAGTTTCTAAAGAAAACATTGTAAAAAAAATTGCTTAATAGTTGAAAGGCAAAATAGTTTCCTGGATTCCTTTCTGGACAAGAAAATTTAATTTACTATTAAATTCTCATTCTTATCTAAATTAAAAATTGGGAAAGAACAGAAAGAATTCATGTCTGATACTCTGTATACAGTTTTCTCCGTAATACAAATTCTCTTAAATATTTCTCTACCATTCTCCTCTACTTTCTGTAACACACCTGCTTTACTCTCTTTTACAGTCTCTACAAAGTATCAGGGCCACTCCTTGGGTAGGGATTGCCTAGGGAATCCTGAAAAA